ATGTATGAAAGTGGTTCAGATTCACAGTTCTGACATACAGTTAAACGTATGCTACTTCAGGATTCTTTTTCTTACTTTGGAGGATGATTGGAAAACCTTTGATGTTAACATTTCATCAATTACTTGTTTGCAGGAACATGGAAAGCAATATGCACTTATTCCAGTTTTTTAGCTAGTGAGACTCCAGTCTGTTGCGTTTCACTCTCTTCATTTTACAATCCTGAGATCACATCATGCCCCAAGTGTAGCTGTGGATGCAGAGAAGTAACAGACAAAAACTTCGGTACATGTCTAAGGTTGGGCTGCTTTGTTTTTTTTTTTTTTTTTTTTTTTTGGCAAGTTAATTTGAACTCAGCTGATCCTCTCTTTCTTTCTCTGTCTCTTCCTCTTTGTGATAACAGGCCAGCTTACCCCTTCACAGCAATGTCATCAACAGGGGATAATTCAGGAGCTAATTTTATGGGTGCTCTAGACCGGGTGAAATGCACAGATCATATGTGCCCTATTCGAGTTCATTGGCATGTCAAGACCAGCTATGTAGATCACTGGAGAATTAAACTTACAATTACTAACTACAACTATCAGAGGAACTTCTCAAACTGGAATGCACTGGTCCAGCACCCTGGTCTCTCCATGAATCCAATAACATATAGTTTCAACAGCACATTGCTTCAGCCTGGCTTTAGAGGTACTTGCTCTATTTCATATCTGTTGTTCAATAACGTGGGAAGTACATAGAAGAAATGTTGAACATAATCAACTTGGTTGTGTAGATTAATCTTTAGTAGAAAGGATAATGTAACTTTAACTGTTACAATCCAATGAAGTGACCCAATAAACCCTTACAACTCTTTTCAACTCTCTCAAATGGTGCAAGGCCTATCCGAACCTTAAAATCTCATGTGAGAAAGTTGGGAAAAGAGTTGGGTCCGAAACTAGACTGTCTGGCGACATAAGCTCGTGAATTTGTACGTACCATTAGGTTAATTGTATATGTGATCGTGATTCACAGTCTTACAACACAAACACATGTGTCCAGGTAGTCTAGCAACACAAGTCTGAAATGGAACAATACCCTCTATTCTATTACGACTGTGATTAAATAAGTTCTAGTTTCT